CTGCCACAAATTCCCCCAGCTGTGAGCCTTCCAGCCTTCTAAGTATTCCTTTATATGTGGTTCAGAGTTCTGGGACCATCCCCTGAGCCTGCTTGTTCGGGTATTCTGTGTTGTTGTTGGCAGAGTTCTCTGCTATATGTCCACCTGATCCGCCCTCTTGTTTGTTCTCCTTTGTCAATATGTTTAATCCTTTCAAATAACCAACTTCTTGTCCTGTTGATTCTTTTTGTAGTTTTTCAGTTTTCCATCTCGTTTATTTCTTCTCTTATCTTTATTATTTTCTTTCTTTTGGTGACTTTAGGTTCCCTCTGCTGTGTTAATGTGTTGATGTTGGTTCTTCTTTTTGGATATGTGCACTTATTGCAATAAATTGCTCTCTCAGTACTGCTTTTGCTGTGTCCCAAAGATTTTGATATGTTGTGTTTTCATTCTTGTTTGTTTCTAGGAACTTTGTGAATTCACGTTTAATTTCTTTTTTTCACCCAGTTGCTTTTCAGCAAGGTGTTGTTCATTTTCCATGTAGTTAACTTTATTCCCTTGGTCTTCTTGTTACTTATTTCTAGTTCCATAGCATTGTGGTCTGAGAAGATGCTCTGTAGAATTTTGATGCTTTTAAATATATGGAGGCTTGCTTTGTGACCTAACATATGCTCAATTCTAGAAAATGTTCCATTCGCACTGGAGAAGAATGTGTATTGTGCTGTTGTTGGATTGAATGCTCTGTATACATCTGTGAGGTCCAGTTGGTTGTATTGTTTAGTTCCTCTGTGGTTTTGTCACATTTCTTTCTGGTTGGTCTGTTCCTTTTCGAGAGTAGTGTGTTAAAATCTCCCACTATAATTGTAGATTTATCTGTTTCTTTCAATTCCAGTAAGGTTTGCTTATGATCTTCGTGGTCTTTCACTGGGAGCATATATTTATTATAAGGAACTCTGGTAGCGTAGTGGTTACGAATTGGGGTACGAACCTTAAGGTCAGCAGTTCGAAACTACCAGCCGCTCCTTGGGAGAAAGATGAGGCTTTCTGCTCCCGTAAAGACTTACAGCCTCGGAAAACTCTACAGGTTCGCTATGGGCCGGAACTGACTCAACAGCACTTAACAACAACGTATTTATTATGGTTATGTCATCTTGCTCAGTTGACTCTTTGATCATGAGATAGTGTCCTTCTTTGTCTCTTATGCTGGTTTTTATCTTAGTGTACTTTGTCGGAAATTAGTATTTCCACTCCTGCTAGTTTATTGTTGCAGTTAGCTTGGTAAATTTTTTTCCATCCTTTTAGTCAGTTTTTGTCTTTGTGTGCAAGGTGTGTCTCTTGCAGGCAGCATATTGATGGGTCTAGTTTTCTTATCCATTCTGCCACTCTGTCTCTTCACTGGTGCATTCAAACCATTGACATTCAAAGGAATTATTGATAGGTATGAATTAATTGCTGGTATTATGTTACTTTTTTGTTGGTGCTATTCATCCTTTTATTCTGCATTCCTTCCTGTGGTGGGTTTGTTATTTCTTATCGGTTTCTTCTTAGTTTCCATGTTCGCTTGTTCTGCTTGGAAATTGTGAAGTATTAACTTTCTTTGGGGTCACCTTATAGTCTACCAACTTTTCTCTCCATTTAAGATAATCCATTGTACCCTATAATTCACCTGACATCCTCACCACCTGGGTCTCTGTTGCTATGAGCTCTGGAATTGTTCCTTCGTGAGCTCCCCTTCCCTCGTCACTGGAACATATACCCTACCTGGTCTTTGTGAAGCTGTCACAAGCCCTGTTTTGAACCACTTATGTAAGTAAGTAACACCACTAAGGAAGGCGCACCATGAAGGGGGAAGCTGTATGTGGTAAAATCATTGCAAATACTGAAAATGAATAAACATACATAAAATTAACAGTATATATTTACAGTCTCCATTTCAATAACTGTACAGTTTAAACTCTTCCCAGAATCCTATTTTATCAATTCTTAAGATGCAGTTTCTCACATCTATGGTAAACAGCTACGAAACTGGGATCCTACTATCAAACTGCAAATGTAATGTAATTGTATAAAAAAAACAAACCTTTTCTAACCAAGCAGATGATGAGACTCAGGAATGAGGAAAGAGCAGGGCAAACAATTGTTGACGGTAAAGTCAGCCAACATCCACTGCCAGCCAGAGCTTAGCATGAAGTCCAGAGCCATGTCCGTACAATCTGACTAAAGAAATGAAGATGCTGCTGCTTAAGTGGTATGGGTTAGTATATAACACATTAGCAACTTAATGTCAACATTTGTTTGAAATCAGTGTTCTTGCAACTTCTTAGTAACAAATTTACCGTCTGTATTCTATGTTTTTCTTCCTCATTGCTAAACAGTTCTTTGTGTGATTACAGTAGCTGCTCCCAAATTGTCCGTTTTCACTCGTCTTCACTGCTGTCACTGTCGCTGCTGCTGTCAGTGTCACTCGTCACAGCAGTTAGTTTTCCCAGTGCTTCCCTGGAAGGAAAACAAGCCTGGGATGGGGTTCTTGGAGCCTGACACTCATTTATGATCTATAACCACACTAAAATTTAAAAAACAAAAGCCTCTAACATCCAAATCTATAAACTTCCCTGACTGGTTATGTTGTTGTGAAATTCTGTGGAATTGGTTCTGACTAAGCAGGATTGTCAAGGAGGGGCTGGTAGACTTGAACCAATTTTGTGGTTAACAGTCCAGTGCTTATCCTACAGAACCATCCCAGGACTCATGATTGATAATGGAGCAATTTAAAAATCAATATGCCTAAACTGTTTACGGGCTAAGAAATAAATTCAGAGGCTAGAAAGCTTTAAAATTTGATGAACAAATGGCCTGCTCATTTTTTATGCCTTCCTTTTCTGGTGAACATACACAGGATCACTTACTTCTGTTCCTGAGTGATTAGAAAGTCAGCCATCAGTGTCTGGGTGAGACCCTCACGAGCAGGTAAGCTGAAGGCATTTGCCAACTTCACGACCTCAATGGCCTGGGCAGGGTTGTTGGATACTTTTGCACTATCCATGAATTCATTCAGCAACTCATTTCTAGAAATGAAAACCCAAATGTAAACAGTCTCCAATTAGGTCACCTGGTCCTCCTTCAGGCAGAGATTTATATGTAAAAATTAATGTTTTAGAAGTTCAGTATTAAAATCATTAACTTTCAAAGGAAAGTCACAGGAAGTTTCACTTTTAAAGAGCCAAATAGACAACATTAAATATGCACCCAATGTCTTCCCAGTGTGTTACAGTCACTAGTGGGTGAGGTGAATGTCCATGTGCATGCCTTTCAGAAGCATGGTGGCTACAGTTTACCCTACAGACTGTCAGCTCTTGTGGCTAATTCCAGCATGTTTGAGATAGGGCCTGTTAATGACAACTTACCTGGGGATCCTATTATGCTTCCTGAAAAGCCCCAACATTGTCCTGTTCAAGAAGAGACAGGACAAAGATTATGCAAGTTGTTCTCTCTCTGGACTCAGAAACCATGTGTCTCTTTCTAACTAACCATAGTATTAGCTCCTTGAAGTTACAAAAATGTGGGCTCTACCAGTTCCCAGCCCTGTCCGTACATCACAACTGCTTCCCCACTCCATCGTGTCTGCACGGTGCATGCATAGTAAATCTGACACGCTGCCAGTGGGAAGCATACATGCCCTTCAGAAAGGGAAGGAGGAGGTAACAGGCAAACAACAGAAACGGCAACAGAAAAGTAAGAACAGGAGCCAATGAGGAAGAATTAAGAGTTTGAATTCTAACTTGAAAATGGGCAAGTATATGGAATTTCAGAAAACAATACATTTTGACCTCTAAATGCAAGGTTAATTTAGTTTCCCAAAATGATTTTATCAAATAGCTAAATTAGTGGAGGTCTAAGCAATGCCGAGAACTAAATGGATTAGAATTCACCCCAGTCAGAACGTACTCTGCCCACCCCCAAGCTGGGAAGGAATACATCCATGGACAGTTGGAAGGTAGGCAAGAAGAGAGTACAGTGCATTCTCTCTTTACAACGGCCTAACTCCCATCTTTCCCAATTCCGTTATGAAGAGCAGGCTCAGATTGAGGCATCAGTCTCATGTTAGTGCTCACCAACACCTGCCACATGCAGGACGAAGGAGAAACACAAACATTCAGCTCCCATGGCTCAGCTGAGGTCCGTACCCCTGCGCCAATCATCACAGCCTGGTTCACAGCAGATGTATGCCAATCTGCCTGAGTTAACCAACATCTACCAATAGCCAGTGTTTCTGTCACTAGTGACACCATTCCCAGGCAATGAGTCACACATCTACATCCAAATGGGTCAGCAAACTTGAAAACACACTTAATGGCAAAATCAAGTCCCAAACAGAGGTCATGCTCAGAAAAAGTCAGTTTAGGGTGGTAGGATGAGAAGGGGTAAGCACTCGAAATAAAATGTAGTCCCGACATTCAAAACATTTTCAAACCTAAGTTTCAGAAAATGTTTTATTGATTACACATATTAGTACTTGTGTTTTCACTGAAAACGCATTACATAGAACACTATAAACCATAGTCTCATTAGAGGGTCTTTACTGACCAGGGTTAATGTTCTTTTAAATACAAATGCTTCTAATTTATACTTGTAGCACACTCACCAGGCTTCCTGGGTTCTCCCAGCCCTTAATAAGAGGACAGCTATACAGTTGAGAGGTATGGCTGGCCAACTGGAGGCAGGCTGTCTGGCATCTTGGCTTTCGTATGTAGATCTGATATCTAAAGCACAGTCAGCGAACGCCACCTGGAGCTGAGAAGCTTGAGTAAGCATGTATAGCTCTCAATACAGTAAAATGAGAATTCAGGAGAACGCATTATTATTATTATTCTATGATAAATTATCTTTAAATTCAGCTATGTTTTTTTTCCTTCTCAGATAAACAAATACTTAACAGTGTTATTAATCATCAGGAAGAAAAGCCATTTTCAAATTGCTTACTTTGCATTATATGAGTGAGAATGACTTTAGAAATGACATTCTGCTGATGGTTGGATCTATTTTGATAAGTAAGCAGAGTTTAAAACTGCGTTTGGATGGCAGAATTCTCCACAAGGACTAAATGACTCTTTACAAGGACATCAGTATTAAATGAGATGCTCTTTAGTAAACATCTACTGACAAAGAAACTTGGGTTTTACTATACACTTACCTCTGGTGGGTGCTTGTCCCTTGCCATAAGAGTCAGGATCTCTTCCCTCAGATCACTTCGAAAAGTGTGACCATATTCTTTACTATCTTAAAAATAAAGGACCAGTCAGAAATGATTACCATGTAAAACCAGCACTTTTTGGCTAACCTCTGTCCACTTGCAACCTTACTTTTTGGTTGTTGAAAATAACCAACAGCATAATTCATGGCAATAAATAACAAAACAGTCATGAAAGCCAATGCCATTAACCTGTTCCGGATCAGCTGTCATGTAAGTGGGCCTGGCTGCTGTTAACGTGCGCACACACCATCCACCCGAGTGGTCACCATCGCCATGTGGCGAAACACTAGTTTAACTGTTATTTTTAAAGTTTCATTGTTCATAGTCATGGGGCAGGAACTCAGTTTCTCTGAAACCAATTTTATGAACTACAGTAACCATCTGGAGGCGATACAGAATCATTCTATTTTACAGTCAATTCATATGGTGGTGTGCTGTGGGGTCAATTCCGACTCATAGCGACACTGCATAGGGTTCTGAATCTGTAACTCTTGATGAGAGTAGAAAGCCTCATCTTTCTCCTGTGGAATGGCTGGTAGTTTTGAATCTCTGACCTTGAGGTTAGTAGCTCAACTTGTAACCACTATACTACCAGAGCTCCTGAGAAGATACAGAATCATTCTATTGTACATTTCATGAGACAGGCCAATATACATAAGTCACAATCATGGCTGTTACTTGCAAACATAACTATAACTGATTTTGATGAGTAAGTAAACCAACAAATGATGTACGCTAGAATCTGACATGTGGTCAGATATAGGGTCTGTCACATAATTAGCACATATCTTCCCTGAGATATGTCACCTACAACTTTTTCCAAAGTCAGGAGGGGACAAACTTAGTCACTTGACATGAGCAACTGACCTTGACGCAGCCCTAATGTAGTCAATTTAGTAAAAGATGTGTAACTTCTCGTCATTAACAATGGAAACACGTTTGTGAACCAAACATAGTTCATTTAAGTGATATGAGCTTGGAGACACAAGCTGAAACTGACCTTTCCAAATCTGAGGAATCATTTCTAGCCGATTGGCCACATCCAGTGCTTGGAGAAGATCTATCAGTGTTTGGGAATGAGGAAAAAAGACCTGATTGAGAAATTCAAATATAATTTAAAAAGCATTATCAAGAAAGATACTCTTAAGCTCATCTATAATAATCAATGATAAGTAACGAAGCATCTTACTGAAGGTATCAGATCCTTATACCACTTCAAGGTTATATCAATTTGTTCCATCAGACATAGCAAACTGAAGAACTTGGAACTGTGACAGAGAAAAGGCAATTTAGTCTAAAATCCAAATGCCTAATTAAATTAAACACAGTTATAAGGTTGACATGTTAAATCAAGTTTACAATACTGAATACTGGATTTGCTTGGAAAATACTCCATGTGAAGAACATTCACTGTGAAGACAACCATCGCACACGTCTTTTAAGTTCCTGTCTTCATCTGCCCAAGCACATCCTTACTTACAAGGAGTCTGTCTAGGTTCCAATATATTCATCGTTAAAAACAGAGGCAAGGGGCTGGGAAAAGAAAATTCTTTAGGGAATCCACCCTGCTCTTAACAATTCTAAAGCATAAAACATCAAGGGCAGTGGTGGGGGAAAAAAGGACATGTGAATTTTAAAGGTTCAGAAAAAAGTGCTCAATTAAACTGCCTATTAAATCAGGGGCATGTTGCCTAAAACAAGAGCAAATATAACACTGCGGGTCCCCAAAAGTCTTCCACTTACAGACTCTATTAATGGCTGCTGAAGCTTAAGAAAGAAAGTCCTTCATTATTGCCACAAGATACACTGGTAGCACACTTACTAATAGAAATTTCGCCGATGATCAGGTCCAATGAATTTCCGATTGTCTCCAGTGTTTAAAAGGCCATGGACTTGATAAGCAAGCTCTAGATCTCTGAGGGCTGAGCACTAAAAATATGCAAGCATTAAGTATCACTCTGGATCCTAATCAGCCAAACTATACCCAGTGCACAAAAAGTACACGTAGAAATATTTATGCTGACTCGATTTATTATTGCTCAATGTAAATTAGTCTTTTCTGACTATGAAACACTCTCACTGTCAAGCAAAACCCACGGGAGTACAACTAGGGGGTACATATATTTGAATGCAAAGGGAAAAATCTTGAAAGACACACTAAACTGTGAAACAATCATCTTTAGGGAAAAGAGTGTACTTCATTTGAATCTACACTTTTTCCTAGAATGAGCATGATTAACTAAAAATAAAACCATCAAGTAAAAACGTTACTAACAGACAAAAATGAAATACTGTGAGACTGAATCTGAATAGATACTAATATGCACAGGATAGGGATTCTGTGATTTAAAAAATAGAGAAAAATTAAACAAGCATAAACAGAAAGAGTATGCAGTGAAAGGACCAGGGCGAATCAAATTGAGGTCCAGTTACAGATAAGCTTAGGAACTTTTATTTTTAAATGGTGAAAAGATTAAGAAATAGTACTCACAACTCTCATGGCTGACTGAAAAAACATATCTGAAAATCAAGTTCATGAGAAGTTTGGTTATGATAGATGAAAATACCTGTGCTCAGGATAACATGTTTTTATATGAGGAAAATGGGAGGGAGCAAAAGCAGTTTCAGTACATACCGTCATCCAGGTCCTTTGAGGAAAATGTCTTCCCCATTAATTCATTCATGATATCATAGATTATGAGGGATGATACTTTTGAAGAACTTTCTGTACAAAAAGAATGCAAATGGATTTTTATGAGTTTACTTCCTGTATTACCACCAAACCTACAACCCCTACACAGAGCTGCACACTTCTCTCACACTAACTTCTGCATACAACCTGGCATACAGCTGAGAAGGGGGGCAAATGCTTGAATGAACAAATGCAACCTGCAGAGCACATGATGCTGTAAGATCTACAAGACCACATCTCTGTCCATCTATACCCACCACAGGCTTGTCTTTTCCTGCTTATCCTCTTCACAAAAAACCTGACTTCAATTAATTTTTCCATTAAAAATATCTGAAGCCCCTTGTATACTTCTAGTGGTAACACATACGTGATCTTATCATTTTCTTAATTATGTTCCAATTTGCTAGTATTCTTGGTCATTATGTTAGTGATACTATTTAAATGACTACCAACGGTGCCATAATAACGGGAATATGGTACAGAAGAATAGAATAGGCTCTGGGGCCAGAAACACTAGTTCCACGAAAATCTCTCCAAGGTGTGGAAAATTCTGTCATCAACTATCACAGAAAACAGTTTAGCTACGATAAAGTCAGTTACCTGTATTTTTTCTCAATAGATTAAAAAATGTCCCCAAGATATGTGGATGTGGATTTTGTAACATTAGAGTTGAAATTTCAACCCAGGCCCAGTTGAAAGAGAACAACTCTTCCAAGGACTAACAGATCTAAAAGGTTCACAAATGGAGCTCTTCCAAAGGCTCCAAACAAGTGTGTTAATCTGTGGTGCTGTGGGGTAACGCACTGAACTGCAAGTTCACCAGCCGCTCCTTAGAAACCCTGTAAAGGATGGCTATGAGTCGCAACCGACTTGATGACACTAAACAATTTGGAGCCACTCTCCAAAAGAACTTACTGCAATGATGGAAATGTGCTACATCTATGACACTGAATAAGGCAGCCACTAAAGTCACTCATGCTACAGGAAATTAAACAATGAATTATGTTAAATAGCCACATGCAGGTAGTAGCTACCAGACTGGCCAAGGTAGCTCTGGTGAGTATAAGGAACCCCAAACAAATACCTGTTGACCATTTCTGTTTGTACATGTATCTCTTTCCCCTCCAAACATTAGGTTACAAACTTCAGAGTAACTTTCCTCCAGTTTGTAGGAGTAACTTGATTCTCAAGTTGCAAGCAAATAGGCTAACCTGTAACTATTAGGTAACACAAACTCAAAAGAGACCTAGTCAATTCTGTCCATAAATTATATAACATAAAGCAATACATACCAGACTGATTACCAGATTGATAAAACAGCTGAATAAGATAGTGATAAGTCGCTAGTGAGGGTTCTTGAATTTCCAGGTAGACAGAAAAATAAGAAATAAAACATGTCAAAATGAAGTTGCCTAAAATCTAACTTATTAAGGTACACTGAACAAAAAGCATATTGATGTTAGTATTCAATCAAAACTTAGTTGTATTCCTTTGAACTTAAACCAGTAAAGGTTAAGAGTTCTAAAGATGACTTTAATTTATAAAGTTCAAATGCCTATTACAAAAATGTTCTAATGCACTTAGGATTCTTCATTTAAGAATATACCAAAGCATATTGAAATGAGTTGATTTTGAAACCAATGTACAATTAAATAGTTACTGGAAAATATAACAAGTATTTGTGTTATGTTTAATAAATAACAAGTCTAGGTTCAAATATTTCACTATGCTAGAAAATGTCATGGAATTTAAAATTATATTACTCTTAAGTGAAGAATTCCTTTTAAAAGTAAGATCCACAAATAAGTTTAAGATATTAAAAGAACAATGTAATTTACTGATAAGAGCCTGAAGACAACAAATTAAGTACATGTAACCAAGTGTAAGGGTAAACAAAATACCATAAAACTATGGTAAACAGCTAAGTAAGAGATTACAACATCTTCCTTGATTATTTGAAATAGAGACCTCTAGTCAGCACTGTGTCTTCAGTGAGCACTGCAGGATGCACCCTTACCTATTCCAACAGCTTTCATTTCACGTAAGGTCTGTAAGGCTGGCGTTCTTCCAAAAGCATGAAATCTTCGGAGACATTTCAGAGTGGTATTAAAAGTCAGTAGATTTGGTTTCACCTTCTGCGCAACCATTTGTTTCATCAGCTCCTAGTTGAATCAAAAACATTATTTCTTATGCCCAGGTAGAAAATTTGCCCATTAACATAGTATTTCAACTGAAACTTATACAGGATTACTCTAAGTTGGAACCAAGTCTACAGCATGAAGCAGCAATTAGCATAATCAATGATGTTGATTTTCTAAAAAAATGTATCTCAAATGATTTATTCTATGGTGTATCTCACTAGTGTTGTTGTTTCCCTTATGCCTAACAACTGCTTGCCTGGAGCCCTGGTGTGGCACTGTAAGAGAAGCACTGAACTGCTAACCATAAGGCCAGCAGTTCAAACATACCAGACGCTCCTTGAAAGTTCTCAATGGCACTTAACAATTATTTGGCTGAAAACTGAGTTCCAGACCTGAAAGGTCATAAAGGGCCAGTCCTGAATCCCACAAACCTGTCAAGTATGATCATTTTAGGATTCTGAATTTTAGACAATGTTTCAATGGACTAATTGTTTCAAAGCATTTTCTTCAGTTTTTTTTTTTTTCTCACAACAGATGCACCTTAGAGGGTCACATGAGCTTTTAAAAAAAAAAACCCCAAACTTTATAATGTGACTTGAGTGAAGGTTTACAAAGCAGATAATCCATTGCAGTAAACTTACTTTGCTTCATTACAGTGATTGCAATTCCCTCCATGTACCCACAGCTAACAGTATTTACACTATTCACTTGAAGCATTATAGGCCTCCCTGTCTCCCCTTAGGTCTTTCCCTGCGAACCTCCTCTTGCATATTGCCTGCCCTGTCATTCATGGTAACATGTCTACTACCCTCTAGCCCATGAGAATTTTTCCTCCCCACTGTAACCATCATTGTCTTAGGGAAAACTTTACACCATCGGTCTCATACTAGACCTGTCCTTTTGTGATAGCTAATTTCACTCACATAATAATATCCTCTAGCTACATCCATGTTGTGCAGTCGTCATTACTTTTCAACATCTTGTAGTACTCCACGTTGTGTATTTACCACATTTTAACAATGCTTCTGTTGATGGGAATTTAGGCTGTCCAATGTGTCTCTTACGACATCACATTGAAGTATTCTGTTCTTATCCATTCTTGACTGATGCATTCAATCCATTTATATTCAGTGTAATTATTAATAGGTAAAAATTGATGTTATTCTTTGGGTTTTGTGTGTGTGTGTGTGTGTGTGTGTGGTGCTGGTTTCACAAAGTTTTCTGCACTGAATTTGTTGTGGATTTTCATTAATGATTACAAAGTCTTTCTAGATTTTCCAGTTTTACTTTTAATGTGCAAATATGTAAATTTTCTGAGGTTACCTTATAATTTAAATTTACTTCCCAATTTAAAACCGTTTTTTATCTTGGAATTTATTTAATTTCCTTGCTGTTTGGAAGCTCTATATCTACACTACTTCCTTCTTGCTTTGCAGTTGACTTCATTATAAATTGGTAGCTCTTGTTCTATCTTCAATATTTTAGGTGTGCTTGAAATACTTCTGTATCTAGTCACTTTGTTGTATTGTGGTGGCTTGTGTGTTGCTGTGATTCTAGAAGCTATGCCACCAGTATTTTAAATACGAGCAGGGTCACCCATGGTGTATAAGTGTCAGCTGAGCTTCCAGATCAACACAGACTAGGAAGGAGGAGAGATGGACTACTTCTGAATATTTAAATACTAAGTTATGAACCAGCATCAGAATATTATCAGATAGTGTCAAAAGATGAGGCCCTCAGGTTGGAGGGCACTTAGCAATGGGCTCAAGTACAGCATCGATTGTGAGGTTGGCTCAGGACTGGGCAGTGTTTTGTTCTGTTGTGCACAGGGTTGCTATGAGTTGATGTCAACTTGATGGCATATCTGGATTGGTCCTGGGTGTTGTTGTCATGCATGGTAATCTCAGTTTATTGGTTCTTAGTCCAAAGAAAACCTGTTAGCAATTTTTGTCAAGTTGGTCTGGTCATTACAAATTCTTTTGATTATCTGAAGAAGTATTCATTTCATCATCCTATTTGAGGGACTGCTTTGCTAAGCATACAATTTATGGTTGGCAATTTTTTCTTTCAGAGTTTTGTATGTCATCCCATTGCCTTCTTGCCTACATGGTTTCTGGTGACAAATCTGAGCTGTCTTATCTTCTCATCTTCCATGATGTTAGGCCATGATGTTAGGGAAGTTTTCTTCCAAGAACTCTTTGACAAGCTTTTTATTTCCTGGTTCTGGGATTCTGATCACCCTAAGTTGTTCCTCTTCATGGTGTCCCACAAAACTTACACTTGCTTCAGAATTTTTCATTCATTTTTCTAATCGTTCAGTTCTTCTATTTTCCTTGATGTTTGTCAATCCTTTGAAGGTATGTAAATGTTAAGTCTTCTGAACTCTTTTTCACATAGTTCCATTACATTTTCTTCCTTAGAAATGTTGACTAACACTGCATCTTGGTCATATATTTGAGTCATTCTCTCTTGTGTCAGCTAAAACGGTCATCTCTGGGGCACTGTTGTTTGTCAATTTTTGTATTTAATTTGATGTATTCTTGGGATTTCATCAACTGTCTACTCTGGGCATGGTTAGGAGACCAGGAAGTATGTGCTCTAATCTCCACTTGCTATTTGCACATCTCATTGTTTAGGGCGGGATTTGGCTGGTGCCAGTCATTAATCAGGCAACACAGGAGCTGGTATTGCCTCTGGACCTTTATGAACAAGGGTGCTGTGTCTGTTAAGGTGGGAAAGAGAAAACCCCTCCCAGACATACACCTAAGAAAAAGAATACACTAACAATGAAAAGAGAAAATAATGAAGACCACACAAACACACAAAGACCCCAAACAAATAAACTCAAAACTATAAAGACAAAAGAGGGATAGCAAAATGGGAGAGAAAAGGATATAAACATAAAAAACTTAGAAAAACCAAGGAGAGGGCAGATGAAGTGAGAGAGAGCAGAGAGTAATAAAAGATCAGAAGGGAAAAAAAGAGGAAAAATAGAAATAGAAGGAAAAACAAAACAAAGACAGGGTACAATTCAAGGAAATGGAAGGAGGAGGAAGAGAGGACACACAAAACAATGAAACAAAAGGAAAAAAAACCAAACCAAAAAAGAAGTGTAGCTGTGGGACCCTGCTAGGAGAAAACTCTGGAGGAGTCCTGAAAGTCAAGGATCTCATGAAGTGACTGTGGGAGGGGGTGTGACAGTGAGTTCCTGACTTAGATGGAGTTTCTATTGCCCTCCATGGTATCTATGATCAGGGCACTCAACCTGGAAGTAGTTCATGGGAGCCCCTGATGGTGCTGATTTCAGCGTCTGATAGGAATACAGGGCAGCTGGAGGCAACGTAACGGGTTAAATACTGGTCTGGGGACTCTGTGGATTATATACGTCTGGAACTGAGCCTGCTTGAATCCCAGCACCAAAATAGTACAGGCAACCTCCTCACCTCATACTGGCCTGGCTCACAACCATGAGGTTCAGAGTAGGGTCTGAGCTGAGGATGGATGAAAGGGGAACGTGGCTACACCTCCTGTCACCAAGAAGTATGAGGCAAGAAGGAATTGCACCTTTTCGTCACCACATGTACTAACTATACCAGGGCACTCTATTGCCAAAGCTGCTCAAAGATGGTGATTGATGGCGGCTGGCCACCTTCACCAGTCAGTTGCCCTCTCCTGTTTGGGCTCAGCCTCTCCTCCCAGCAAGCACTCAATCTACTTCTCTAACCTTTCCTCTGAAGTTCAGGGTTCCAGGATGTACACCTGTTTTATTTGGTGTCTCATATCTTTGCTGTAGAGCAGGGATGGGGAACCTTTTTTCTACCAAGGACCATACAAAATTATCAACTTAAAAATTTAGCCCGCTTGGGAGAAAAATACCATGTTTGGTAAGGTGGAGGGTCAGAGAAAAAGAGGAAGACTCCGACTCAGTGGCACCTAACAACAGTGTGATGGCTGGACCAGCAGCTGCTTTGGCAAGGCCAGACCAAACGTTTTTGCAGGTCTTGTGGTGCTGTGGGTTAATGCACTGGACTGCAAAGTCGGTTTGAACCACAAGGTTGGCAGTTCAAGCTCACCAGCTGCTCTTTGGAATCTCTATACAGGGTTGCTATGGGTCAGAACAGATTTGATGGCCCTTAACAACTCATGGCCTGTATGAGCCTATATGGATTCCTGGGGTGGTGCTGTGCGTTAATTCACTGGACTGCAAAGTCCATTTGAACCACAAAGTCAGCAGTTCAAGTTTACCAGCCACTCCTAGGAAACACTATATAGGGTGGCAATGGGTTGGAACTTACTGGAGAGCACTTACCACAGCATATGGCCTGTAAGGAGAGCTCTGGTAGCATAGTCGTTATAAATTGGGCTGCTACCTGCAAGGTCATCAGCCGTTCTGCATGAGAAAGATGAGGCTTTCTGCTCCTGTTAAGATTTACAACTTCAGAAACACTATACAGGATCGCTATTTGTTGGAACCAACTCCACGGCATACCACCTCCACGCCATATGGCTGGGTGGGGACCAGCCCTTCCCCATGTGTTTGTGTAGTGCATCAGCCTAGGTGGCCATCTTTCCAGGAATCCCACTCATAAACTTGTAAAATCCCATTGCTACTCATCAAAGTAGACTGTAGGACACTGCCTTTATGGATTATGTTGTGCAACTGACCATGGTGTCAGTTAGCCAAGACGAAAGCTTCATTTCTTCAAGGTGTTCAGTAATGTCTAAGAAATTGTCATAACTTTGTCCCCTATATGCTCTACCACATTCATGGATCCATTCACAGCAAATGTAATCAGTTATCTTGTCAACCTTGTACACTTGTGAGTATATTTCTCTGGTCTTATTCATTGATGTCCTTGTAGATCACCATTATTGCAACATTATGTAAGAGCATCGTGTACCCCTGCTGTCCCCTACCGACTGTGCAGCCCACGAGCAAGGAGGCCAGGTAATGGATGGGGACTACAGTTTGCTCTGGCATCGGACACTATGAGAGGCTCATGGGAACAGGCCTGCTATAAATCCAAACCCATGCATTGCCTTGAACTCTTGCACTCCTCCCACTGTCTTCCCTTGCCTGCATCTTACTACATTTTATGTTCCCCTTCACCCAAGTTAACACATCTCTATCTTCAGAAACCCTACATAGCTCCTACTCAATGGTACTTAACAACCCTCTCTAGCCAGTGAATTACTGCCCTTTCTCTTCCACCCTTGGTAACCACCAAGAATGCTTACGTGTGAAAACGGTTTTCTTGACCTTTTATAATAGTGATCTCTTATGGGCTCTTTAGTGACTAGTTTCACTCAGCACACTGGTTTCCAGGTTCGCCCATTATGTTTTGCAGTAATTGTTATTCTTTATGGTTACATAGTATTTCACTGCACCTACTACAGTTTATTTACCCATTCTTCCACTTATGGGCATTCAGGTTGTCTACATCTTTTTGCAGTTGTGAATAATTCTTTGAACATCAATGTGCACTCATCTACTTATGCCCTTGTTATTATTTCTCTAGGATATATACCAAGCAGCGGGATTGCTGCCCATATAGTATTATTCCACATGGTTAAACACCATTTTACAGTCCCAAGCGCAACATATGAAGGTTCTATTCTCTCATTTTGCCAGCACTTGTTTTACATTTTTGAACTTTGTTACTGATGCTGGAATTAGATGACATTTCATTGTTGTTTTAATTTGCATCTCTGTACTAGTTAATGATCTTATTTCTCTATTTGCTGGTTGCCTGAATATTTTCTTTGGTGAAGTGTCTGCTTATGTCTTCTGCCCATTTAAAAACTGATTTTAGGCGGTTCCAATCATCTAATTTGTCTACTACTGTTTGGTTTACAGTTGTCAGATAATGTATTTATACTATGCATCAGTGCCCCTAAGTTTGGCCCTATATTTTTTCATAAATAAGCCTTTATAGTTGTTGTTTGTAGTTGGTTCTGACTCATAGTGACCTTGAATAGGGTTTCTGAGGAGCAGCAGGTGGGTTTGAACCCTGAACTGAAGTTATCATATCCAGTGATTATTCAACAGCATCAACCGAGACTCAGTCATTTAAAAAGTGCTACTTTTGTGATTAAGTAACTATTATGAAAAACAAATGAGTCAATTGTCCCAAATTCTAACTGTATGTCCTAGGTCAAGTAATTTCATTCTTCCCACAAACCAGCATAGCTACGGAATTTATAGGTTACAGGAGGGGTTGTGCACGTCTCTGAGCAACGCGTATCAACAGTGACTGACTGCCAAGGACTCAATGCTTGCCAGTCTCCAGTGCTAGAGCTACTTAAAGTTGATTAGAAACAAGGGTTTTTCCATACCTGCATATGATTCCATTTTGCATCAAATTTCTCATTCACTGTCAATGCCGTTGCTTCAATCAAAGCATTAAAGGTGTACACGTCAGCTGTAAAAGAAAGAAAACTACTTTCATCCAATTTAGGGCTGAAGAGTAACTACTAAATGGCTCAATTTAAGGAAAAGTATTGTCCATTGGTATTCCTAGGTTAAGTGTCATGTGATTCTAACACTGGAAAGGCACATCCCTCTGGATTTCTGCTACTGCTTCAATCAGCAGTGCCACAGGCAAGAGGGCCATGGCGGCAAGAAAAAGACTGAGGAAAGAAGTGAGCTCCCAGTACATGCTTACCATGGAGTCTGTTGTTCAACAACTCGGTATACAACTTTAATGCCTGTTCATTAGCTCGGTGCTGGAAGAGAAAGGATAAAAATGAAATTCATTCATTTAATAAATACTTGTACATTAAAGGTTATACAGTTTGAGAATACAAAAGTTCACAAAGTACACAACGTCTTTATTCTCATGAAACTTGTATTATTATGCAGAGGTTCTCTACCAGGGATGATTTTGCCCCCCGGAGACATTTTTGGTTGCCACAACTAGGGAGATGAGGGTACTACTGAGTTACTTGGGCAGAGACCAGGAGGCATCAAAACACTCTATGCGTATAGGATGCCTTGCACAACAAATTATTCAGTCCAAAATGTCATCAGTTCTGAGGTTGAGTGGAAATTAACGACTGAAAATACAAATAACTATACCTTCACCATTCCCCGGATCATTGTGCAGTAGGAATGTGCATCTTTCTCTGGCATTAGGGCAAAGATCCTCTCAGCATTGTTTTTCTCTCTAGACACAAGACAGTAAAATCAGAACCAGGGCATACAGGAAAAGTAAGAGTTTACAACATTCCAGGCACTTTATCACTGCATATATATTATTGCTGTTAAGTGCCTTGAAGTCAGTTCAGACTCATAGAGACCCTGTTAAGAAATAGACTAGTTTAAAATACGGTATCAAATTTATATATATAAAGAACTAAGGTACATATATACTGTAGTATAACAGTATGTAGATATTTACCCCTGGGAATTATATCTAAGGGTTGAGAGAGGATGGCAAAATTTTACTAAATAATCTATTGAACTGTTTTTGTTTTTTAATACTATGGTATATATATAGTTTTCATAAAGGTTTTATTTTTAATCCTGGTCCTGCCACTCAACTGCATAGCTTGTGGCCTCAGTTCCTCCTGGTGCTGTAGGATCAGTACTGGTCTGCTAACCACAAAGTTGGCGGTTCAAACCCAGTAGCTGCTCTTTGGAAACCCTATATAGGGTGGTTATGAGTCAGACCTGACTCGACAGCACTAAACAACATTCAGTTAAATTCTCAAATGTAACTAAATGTTATTACATTTTTATTTTTCCTTCAAACTGCTAGACAGTAATCTCAATTTAGCACTACATTCTAGATTAAGTATTTATTTTGGTACACAAAAATTATCAAATCAGAATAAAAAGTGACTTAAAAGTACGTAGGACAAGAGTAGCACTGCTGATAAAACTATCAAAAGAGTATCACTGAAGGTACCAGACTTAAATTGAAATAAAACAAAAACCAACAGAACAAAAAATAAACACGAACGTATCAAAAGAGTATCATTGAAGGTTATCAGACTTAAAACTGAAACAAAACAAAACAAAAAAACATAGCAAACAACCTCTTAACAGGTTAGGACCCTATAGATGAAAAAAAAAAATTCTAAAATTTATACTGCACATTGAAAATAAAACTTTAATTTAGATTCTTGAATACATTTGTTGTGTGGTGACAGAATTTTGGATGACAGACAGTACACACTGAAAAACGAATACGCATTGCCTATATATGGCTTTTGTGGCTGTAAATCTTCACTGGGGCAGAAAGCCACATCGTTTCCCCACAGAGTGACTGGTGGGTTTGTACTGCTGATCTTGCAGTTAGCACTCCAGTGCTTATCCTACAGTGCCACTAGGACTCTTATGAAACTGCAATACAAGCTTCTAATTATGTGAAACCTAACTCCCAAGTAAGGAGCCCTGGTAGAAAATTGGTTAAGCACTTGGCTGCAAAGAGAAAGGTTAGCAGTTGAAATCTATAAGATCTTCTGTGGGAGTAAAGGCCTCACATATGCTCCTGTATCTACCATAGCTTAAGAAATCCTATGGAAGCAGTTCATCTGTTTTACAAGGTCACTTAGAGTTGGAACCAACTTGATGGCCGTCAACAACTACAACATACCTCCAAGCAACTCCAAATGGATGGCCATTTTTCCTTCTAGATTTCTCATTTTCCTCTGTGGTCTCTTCCTGAAACGAATCGTCATCAACAGAGATAAAGTAAAGACAAAGATAAAGTAAAGGCATTCTCCCCATTAGACTACTCAAGCATCAGGATACTTAAAGAGAACTTCAAGAAAGTTCTCTTTCTCGTAAAAGGCAACAAGAGGAAAGCCAGTGTATGCAGGTTTATGCTTACACATGTTAATTCCTTCCACCAGTGTCCCTCTGGTCCAGAGGGCGAAACTGCAGAATCAGATGGTACACAGTCTATAAATAAAGTCTTCCTGTTCATTATGCATCATACTGTCATTGAAGTGACAACAATAGAGGGTTTTGCCCAGGCATTTCTGGTCAAAGCTTTACTTGTATGTGGTATGCCAAAAGGGAACTAGAGTTAAAGTACAGATCTACATCTCTCTCTTCCTCCTGCATGTATCATTTAATGCCCAGTGTCTTTATAATGAACATTACCAATTCTTCTGATTTTTCAGTTTGTTGAAAATGATAATCAGCTGGGGGCTCTTGGTCACCATAGTAACACAATAAATCCAAGAGACTGTTAGTTGTCTCCAGTGATACAGTTGTTCCTGTGTGGGAAGGGAGAGAGGTGGGGAAAATAAAGAAAACTAACTAAAATTTTTCACGTTTTCTAGTAGCTGTGCCTGTTGGCTACATATTCATCATCACTCTCCATTTTATCAATTGATGAAGTATGCAACCAACAACTTAAATACCCAAGAGGTGTAGATAAGGACATAAACCATACAGTCTGACATAAAATTTAAATACAAGATGAAGTCTGACCTTGAGAGCTCACTTACGAGCTGCATGTTGTTGTTGTTGTTAAGTGCCGTTGAGTCGGTTCCGACCCATAGCGACCCTGTACAAGGTTTCCGAGGGTGTAAATCTTTACAGGAGTAGAAAGCCTCATCTTTCTCCTGCGGAGCTGCTGGTAGTTTCAAACTGCTGACCTTTAGGTTCGCAGCCCGATTCGTAACCACTACGCTACAAGAGCTCCTTAGTTATCTCCAAACTGAACACTGCAAACATTTCTACTTAGCCCCACCAACACATTTTCAGTGATTCAAGACCAATTCTACTTGGACCAAGGTTGCCACTGATATGCCTGCCCAGAAAGTCTAGCTTAACGCGCCCAAAAGCTTACTGCTCAAAACATTAGGCTCCTGTTTTGTTACTTATTAAGAAGGTACAATAGGGCACAGGAAAGAGACATAAAATAATCTTCTATTTTAAAAGACTAACTGCATCTTTCTAAATAAAATATGCTGAAAATAAAAATGCTCATCAGGGCAAGTACTATGGACCTAACACATATTTTTCCGGATTCTAACCATGATACTGTATAGGGCTTTCCAAGGAGCGGCTAGTGAGCTTGAACCCAAATGAAATTGAGTCAAGAACTTGCATCCAGAAATTGTTTTTCAATACCATAGAGCTAAGACCTGTATCCAGTGGCCTGACTGAAAGTGCAGTGCTTTCCCTCTTTAAAATATGTTTTAAGTAATTGCTGAATTTAGAGCTCTGGCCCTGCCCTCCAAATCATACTTAAAGGGTCATTTAAATTAAATGTGCTAGCTGATATTAAAAAGTGACTGACGTTTAAAGACTGTTTATATAATTCCTCTATCCATTGAACAGCACAAGAAGATAATAAAGCTGCAACTCTAATTCATCTGTAATTTTAAAACAAAGCTAAAGCAGAATCAGAAATATTATTTACAAAACTATTAAATATATGTAAACACATCTAACAGCATAAGTATAGTAGTAGTTTTAACTTGTACTAAAATCTATCTGGATCAAATTATTGTGATCCATCTTACAAGACCACTTTCTTAGAACAACTTTAATTAGACATAAGTTACCTGCTTGCAAGAGTTGATCAAACATATCTACTGAAGCTTTAACTTTTTTGAGCTTAATTCTTTCTTTCAGGGCAGCTTCACTTATGCCTTCTATCTGAGGTTCAAAGTACTCAGGCATTAAACACTAGTAAAACAAAATTATTAAAGTTACCACAAACAGGGAAAGCTAAATGGATAACTGATGGATACAATTTTTGTCATTTAAGATCAAAACCAATCATACCATTCCAATTCATGTTTCATGCATCAGATATTACGTATCATTTTACCATGTCTTTTTGAAGTCAGACTAACTTAAAAAATAAAAAAATCCACCCAGTCTCTCCAACAAGATGACTATTTAGCTATCCTCTAGATACTGGACTTAGCTCTGTGCTTAGGAAAAGTCCGACCACAGAGACAGTGAAGCCATGGGAGGGTTTACAGCCAAACTAAACCTTAAGCCCATGGCTGTCAATCAAAAACATAAAGGAAAAAAGTAACTTCACAAATGATCATTCTACCACTGCCACTAATTTAATCCCGGATTTCAAGATTTTTACAATTGCACTGTTTTCGTACTTCCTCACTAGCAGTCACAAGAGGGGTGTGTTTAGGTGAGTGCACTGTGAACCAGGGAGATTTAAGGAGGGGTCCAGTTTGGGACATGATAAGCTTGAGGTACCCATTTCCACTGATGACTGCAGGATGGTACAGACAACCTGCTTTGCTTACCACTGATAACACTAAGCTCAATGGTTAACATACAATAAGCAATGCATATCCACTCACTAACAACACAGAAGAAGGAAGTAGTTGGCGTGATTGCATATAGATACCAAATGGAAGGTTACTGAAGCAAGAATAGTACAGACAGGAACAAGAAACAGACAAAGCAAGAAAATCTTGAGTAAAACTAAACATAAGAAGTCAAGTAGTAAACAAAGGAAATTGATGGAGACAGGGCAGCTGTGGGTTCTAGGCCCATGGACTGAGTAAGGCTGTGTGTGTGCAGGCAGGAGGATGGCTTGCAGAATGTGTCCTTTGGACATTTAAACAAATATTATGTTTTGTGTTGTATGTATATCTCAAATACATTTGCTGTGCTTATTTGGGAAAAGTAAGATGTAAAAGGAAAGGCACAGGGAGGAAACAGGGTCACTGCTGTTGGAGGAAGAAGACTGAAATCACTGATAAATCAAGGTGTGTGACTTTAATGAATGTAAAAGTCATTATCTTGCCTGCACACTTTCTTTCAATTCACAATAAAACAGTAAACAACAACAACAAAAACAAAAACAAAAAAACCCGAAAAAGATCATTACTATGAACCGATAAAGCTACTGACTAAAACCCTTTCACTAACCTGGTGAGGGCCCTCAAATAGTAGCCGTGAAAGAATAATGTAATTTACATATCTGAAAATTATAATTACCTCTGCTTACCGGTATATGAGGTTCAGCTATGTCCTTCTGAAAATATTTGGGATGTGAATTAATAATGAACTTTGCTGCATTCTCTCCAGATTTCTTTGCCAATAAAAATGAACGCTACATAAGAAAAAGATTTATGTAAGTTAATATTTACATATTATTTATACTCAAGAAAGTTTAAACTTGTATCCTAAATAAGATTATTCTACCCAAACAGAAGTGCAAAAATACAGGAGCTCTGTTAGCGTAGTGGTTACAAATCGGGCTATGAACCTTAAGGTCAGCGGTTCTAAACTACCAGCCACTACGCGGGAGAAAGATGAGGCTTTCTACTCCCATACAGATTTACACCCTCGGAAACCCTGTACAGGGTCGCTATGGGTCGGAACCGACTCGATGGCACTTAACAACAACAACAACAATTAGGAATTAAACTATACTATATCCATCTCTTCTATTGAATGTGATAAAACGATTTCAGATCACATCTGATATAGTCTGAGCTGAATAATGATTTAAACTGAGAGCACTTCACTCAACATTCCAAACCCAAATCAACAACCTTCCCATCTCCATAGTCAATTATCTCTTAAATAATTGATAAAAGCAGTAAAGGCTTCAGAAAGTCTACCAATTTTATTAGCATCTACAAACTTTTTAAAAGGTTTTGCAATTAAGTTCAATTATATTTGCATTCTTGAACCCAAACCAGAAAAGTTACATGAAAACACTCACAGATTCGCTGGTAGATGTTGGTATAAGGTAAGGATCATCTTGAAATGCATAAGGTACAGCTGTGGGGTCCTGTGGAGAAGACAGTCTCTTTAGCTAGATTTTTATGAATATCTTTGGGTTTGGGGGATCAAAAATTCAATTATTTATGTAGCATTCATGCAGAAAATGTATATACATGTACATACACACCGAGAGAACACAGTTCTATTACTTCTACTGCAGTCTCGGTTCTGCAATAGTTTTCCCAGTAGACATTTCACTGAAGTCTGTGCTGGACTCTTGAAAGTTTGTGCTTAGTTTCCACGCACTTTTTCCTTTGCTGATTTTGTTTGTATCCTTTGGCTTTAATAAATGTGTCATGAATACAACTATATGCTGAGTCCTCTTAGTTAATCACTGAACCTGGGAGTGGGCTTGTAGACTCCTAGCACAGATAAAATGATGGAAGAAGCAAAGGATTTGGTACTGTACAGATGAGAGAAAATGGAGCTACAGACAACTTTAGGATGGAGTTACCACTAACATGATGAAAAAGAATGTGAAGCAAGAAAGGGTTTCTAAGAGTTAATTTTGAGGTGATTACCACACAAATATGCAAGTTTTCAAGTGAAAATATTTCTCATTCTCTTTTTGTGGGTACACATCTTTTCTTCTAAAATGTCTGATTTTGTCAGTTTTAAAACCTGCTTCATGCTTAAATGAAGTATATGCTTAAAATTATTTAAAGGATTTGGATAAAATCCTAACACTCTTTAGCATGGCATTTATGATCTTGTCTCATCTTTCAAAGCCCCAATTCTCACCACACCTACTACCCATCTTACGTCTTTATGAGCTTGCTCACGGTGCTACCTCTGCTAGAGCATTCGTTCCTACTTCCTCCACCTTCTCGTCTCCTAACTTAGTCCAATTATCACTGACTCTGGAATATCCTGTGATAGGTACTCTCTTCTCAGTACTCCTAAAGGTAGCCCAGGCTTGTCTCGATCTTGCTACAAAGACCCTCATTTCACCTTTCAATTTCCGTCACTAGGACCTACGACTGTGCCTTAATTCTGCAACCCAGCATAATGCTTGGTAAGCGTGGTTAATGGCACAATATATGGTAGCTGAATGAAAACCTACTTCTTGGCTCTTAGGGCAAATATCAGACAATTCTACACAACTTGATGGCACCTAACAGGCCACTTGGCCCATTTCTCTAATTTACATTTCAGGTGCTTTAATTATGAATGAGTGAACTGCTGTACATCTGAATGCTGGTTAAGGTGGGGGGAGGGTGAGATGCAGTACTGGAAAACCCTTCTATAGAAAGATATGGAGTATCAGTGTACATTTGGCCTAGCATCCCCTAAGCTTAACATCTACAACAGAAGAATGGGCTATTTCTGATAATGGCCTCAAGGAGGGTTAGTATCCGTATAGATGTTGTTGTTGTTAAGTGTTTTCAAGTCAGTTCCGATCCATAGTGACCCTGTACAGGGTTTCCGAGAAGCAGCTGGTGAGCCCGAACCACTGACCTTGCAGTTCAAACAGCTTTGCAGTGTGGTGCATTAACCCACAGTACTCACTGTTTTAGACATTTTCCCCATAGCTGAAATTAAAAGTGGTTCCCAGTAATTAAAAAATGCAATCAGGATTTCAGTATGTCAGACTCCAAACTTGACTCTTAAATTGCCCACAAAAGAATTAATGACAATAGTGGTGGTGGTGAGTGCTGTGGAGTCAGTTCTGACTCATAGTGACTCAGTACAGGGTTTCTGAGGCTATACATCTTTATGGGAGCAGAAAGCCTCATCTTTCTCCTGTGGAACAGCTGGTAGTTTTGAACTGCTGACCTTGCAGTTCACAAATGACAATAACAGAATAAAACAGCTAACCATTTACTCAGTCTATCTTTGTGCCACGTACTGCCCTAAACCCTTTTTGATATAGTAACTCACCCTAATCCTTAGTTTGGTGCAATAATTAATTTTCATTTTATGGATCAGGAAGCAGAAGCATTAAGAGACCAAGACCACACAGCTAGTACGTGATTACAGAACTTTTGGCTCCAGAAGGACCCATGTATTATTTCTGTAGGTTTTGAATTGTTTCCAATGCTGTATCTATCTTATTTGATTGTGCCTGTAGCACTTTCCTGAATTCTTCCTCATTTTTCTCAACTCCACTGTAGTGTTTTGAAACATTTTATAACCACTTTTCTGAATTCTTTCTCAGGCATTTCCAAGGCCTGCCTTCTTCCAGAATGGAGTCCAGGTCTAACTCTAGGTAATTTGTCTCAGACATTTTATCTTATTTCTGGACGTGTGCTGATATGGTTATCTGCTTTTGCTTCTTGGACATGTTTAGTGTTTATCTGTGGCCTCAATACTTAATTGAGTATGTGTTTTGGTATTTTTTATGCTTTCTGATTGCTTCCCGGAAGATGTGAACAGGATGTGGGCTTCCCTTTTCACTCTTTTTATTGCTTAACTCAGAGTAACTTTCACAGATGCTGTCTGTTTCCCTGGTATATGGCAGTTTGTTTTCGTTCTTGCCTGGGTTTTGGCGTTTTGTAGAGTGTGATTGTAGCTTGGCTGTATGGTAGCAGTTGCTGACTCTTCTTGTGTAATATATGGAGAGAAAGAGTCCTCCAAAAGTAGAAGGGGGAGCACATAACAGCAAAACAGCACCAGTGGAAAAAAAGGGAAAAAAACAAAACAAACAAAAAACAGCAACAACAAAAACTAGACTGAATACTGCAGTCTATAATCACAGAAGAGAGAGGAAGGAAGGAGAGAAGAAGAAAAAAAAAAAATCTGAAGCCTAATGAGTATGACTTTAATGTCCTCTCTTCAGCCTTTTGCTTTCAAAGTTGCCTGAGAGATTTCAAGATGCCAGTGTTGGTAGTTATGCTATACCTCAGGCTTTAAATTAATTTTCAGCCTGTTTTGTTTTTAAACTCTCTTTCCCTCTCTACAGCCCTGTCCTGCCCTTTCCCGTATTAAAAAACAAAAACAAAACACAAACAAGCAAAAAACCTTCAGGGTCTGCTCTTGGGTTGAATATCTGTACACATGCGTGGCAGAAGAACCCACCATTGGTTAGGGTGGGGGGTGTACACTCGCTCAGGCTCTCCCTCTAGTCACCAGAATGGAGGTGGGCAAACAGTGGGCGCGCCAATGACCAGATTCCAAAAAAAGAGAAAAATCAGAGCAAAGCAAAACCGACAAAGCATGTTGTCCACCATTGCTTCAAGGTTCCCGCGGCACTTTTCCGTGGTGTTTCTGCTCCCCATTTGGTCTTGCCCAAGATGTCGGCCCCGGACTTCCGAACTCAGCCCAGTGGATTCAAAAGTATGCGATTTTTTACTTCAGCTTCAAGTTCCACAATCTATAAGCCTTCACACCTTCAAAATATTACTATCTCTGTGGTTCCGAGTTTTGGAGCTCTGCCCTGGATCTGCTTTGCCTGGAATTCTGTAGTATTGCCGACGGCGAACTTCAATGCACCTCCACCCTAGCCGCCATCAAGCCCCACCTCTCAGTCCACAGTTGCTGCATTATTACTAGCATAGTAGGTACTTCTATTTCTCCAGGGTGCGCTATACTGTTGCTCAGTGCTGCTGAGTTGGTTCCAACTCATAGTAACTCTGCACAGGTTTTCCAAGTAGCTGCTGGTGGGTGTGAACCACTGGTGTAGTTAGCAGTCCAGTGCTTATGACACTCACACCCAAATGATCCTTCCCCGGGAATATGCATTTCAACAAGTTCTTCAGCTGATAATACCTAAAATCACTTGTACAGAATATAAACACTGAATTTGGGGACAAAAGACTTGGACCCTTAGGTCATTTGAACTTTACTTACCCTATTTACTGTGGATTCAAGTGCCTGAAGAACTGCCACGTTATTCCTAAGAATGAGAATTATACATTAACCACAGAACTCTGCATTCTTACCAAATGTTGAAGTGATGCTACTCACAGAATGGCCTGGCCAATTAAAAAAATACAAGGCTCAAATAGAGGTAGCATGTATTTCTCAAGATCACTGTAGTAGTTAAGATTAGAAAATAAGAAAACTATCCAGTTCTTTTGTGTACAGATGGTTACTATATGTTCCTTGTATACTTTGCCTGCCATTCCTAGTATTAAATATATTTTTACGCTTATGTGAGATTTAGTTATTCATTTCCAAAAGAACTATAGCAAATTTAATAAGCCAACAGTTACTTTCTAAAGCAAAGTTAATATAACATTCATAAGAGTGTATCATTTGAAAAATGTGAAACATCACATAGGAGAGAACAAACAAGATGGTGGATACGGTGGAAGTGTAGTAAGAAGCTCCATCAGCAGCAACACGGGAGACAGGACCAAGCAGGCTCAGGGGATGGTCCCAGAACTCTGAACCACATATAAAGGTATTTAGAAGGTTGGAAGGCTTACAGCTAGGGGAATTTGTAGCAGAAGCAAGAAATCCATTGTTTTCTAATTCAAGAAGCTCAGCTGCTCCAGGAGCTGCCATCTTGGGTGAGACCAAATGGGGGAAGAATCAGAGCACTCACTGATGCTTGA